ATTATATTATATTATATTATATTATATTATATATTATATTATATTATATTATACTATATTACATTAATATAAATTGTTTTATCTTCTTTTCTTTTGCTTTCTTCTAAGGTCTTTCTACTTAACTCTGGAGGCCCCTCATATTCAATTAAATTTCTCCGATTTGTTTTTGAGTTTGTTTGCTCTAAGCAACAAACAAATACAAAAAAATTTGTAAATGAATTGCTGCAACAATACACCATGTAAGGACATACTTTTATTTTATTTCTTTTCTTCATTTTCTTTCTTTTCTTTTTGCTTCATATGCATGCATGCATGCATGCATGCATGCATGCATGCATGCAGTTATAGATCTGCATGCAGTTATAACAAAACTGCATGCATAAACTAAAAAGACATTAAAATGTTTCTATATTTAAATGCATGCATTCATATGCATGCATGCACTGATGGATTAAAAAAGCACTCAAATACTTCATTAAATGCATGCATATCTATAAATGCACGCATGCATATAAATAATATATATGCATGCATATAAATAATATATATGCATGCATATAAATGCATGCATTTATATGCATGCATGCATTTAAAGATGTATTTTACTTTCTTTTTTATGCATGCATGCACTCTTATTACTGCATGCATCTATATATGCATGCATGCATGTAAGTAAATGCTGATAATTTCTTTTTGTTTGTCTTCCTGCTGCTGCGGTGTACATACAGTGCACGATAAGACAGAATAATCGAAGAAAGAAACAAAATAATAAAATAATAAAATAATAAAAGATAAAACGGAAGCAGATATCAGCAGATAAAGGACATGAATAAATGAACAAACAAACAAACACTGAATTAATTAATAATTTTTTTTTAATAATGCTTATTTTATATCTTTGTTTGCGTCTATCTGCAGCTATAACGATATATTGCGGTGTACAGACATCGCATCTTTAAAAACAGAAATAAACAACAATAGAAGAATCCTCAAAAAAATCGGAATGGGGCCCCCACTCGCCAAAATGGCCGAGTCAGATAAACCCTAAACCCTAAACCCTAAACCCTAAACCCTAAACCCTAAACCCTAATCTTTAGACCTTATATCGTAAGTCGTGAAGTATAAATTCTAAACAATAAATAATATACTCCATATCGAAAATATTAAAGAATATACACTAGATAAACCCTAAACCCTATACCCTAAACCCTAAATCTAGAGCCAAAGGCGGTATCAGTGGATGTATACATTATTACACATATTAGATATATAAAAATAAATAAATAAATAAATGAATAAATATATTATTAATTTGATTATTTTGTTTGTTTGCAGACTTCTTGTTTTAGAAGAAAAGAAAGAAGAAGCAATTTGTGTAATTAAAAAAATGAAGGAGATGGGAATCGAACCCGGGGCCTTCATTTCTGAAGAAGTGTTTAATGCATTAAATAAATAAAAATAAATAAAAATATATTTTAATTAATAAATAATTAATATAAACTTTCTCTGCAAACCAAACACAAGATAATTAAGCAATCCTCATCTATACTATTTTGAAAACGGTGTTTAATGCATTAAATCAGTAAAAATAAATAAAAAGATATTGCTATTAATAAATAATATTAAATAATATATATATATATATATATTATGTAAAACAAACAAAAGAAAATGAAGAAATCTGTACTAATAATATATATATATATATCTACAGACTGCAGCAATAAGGAGGTTCTGTATAAACAATAACCCTAAACCCTAAACCCTAAACCCTAAACCCTAAAACGCTAAAACCCTAAAACAAACAAACTACAATTAATTAATTAATATGTCATTTATTAATAAAAACAAAACCGTGCAAACAAACAAACAGAAAAATAAAAAATTAATAAACAAACAGATACACTTAAAAATAATATAATAATATTACTATATTATTTTATTATATTATTACAAATAAACACAGATACACAAATGCACAAGTAAGTAAATACAGAAAAGAATAAACAAATAAATAAATAAATAAATAAATTAAATAAACAAATAATAAATAATATATTGCTTTGCAAGTAGACAGCGTAGAAGGTGCTGCTTGCTCTCAACATAATTCTTTTTTATTTCTTTTGTTTTAATTTGTTTTACTTAATTTGTTTTATTTTTATTTTTATCTGTTTTTGTTTCATAGCAAATAAAAATTATATTAATTGAGCTGTACGTACACCCGAACCCCCTCGGAGTAATTATTGTTTATTGTTTATTTCTTTTAAAAAAAAGCAAAGTCAAAACAAAACTTCTGAATAAATAAATAAATAAAATAAATTTAAAAAGTCTCCCTCCAGGTGTACAGACAGTTAGCAGAAGAAAAGATAGAAAAAATACTGCAGCAGCAGCAGCAGCAGAAGCAGCAGCAGCAGAAGCAGAAGCAGCAGCAGCAGCAACAGATTAGAATCCTCTTCTTTCCGTTTGCTGCTGCAGCATTTGTTTAAGTGTATTGATTTCTTTTTCTTGTGCTTCTATTCTTTTATTTTTTCTTTCTATCTCAGCCATTGCTGTGGTGTACATACACCGCAAATTACTAAGCAAAACATCAACAAGAGTTTGCTGCTGCTGCGCGTACACCCGAACTTCTGCTTCTGTCATTGCTAATATATCTGCTGCTGCTGCTTCTGCTGCTGCTTCTGCTTCTGCTGCTGCTGCTGCTGCGTCTTTTGCTGCTGCTGCTGCGTCTTTTGCTGCTGCTGCTGCATCGGTTGTTGTTGGTGCTGCTGCTGATGCTGCTGCTGTTCTTTTTGCTATATCCACTGCTGCTGCACTTGCAGTAGCTGTTGCTGCGGTTGGTGCTACTGCTGCTGTTGTTGTTGCTGCTGCTGTTGCTTGTGCTGCTGTTGCTGCTGGTGCTGGCATCAGTTCGCCGTCCCCAGCGGAAAAAGCGGATGCTGCTTCATTCCCTCTTGCTGCAGCAGCAGCTGCAGCAGCAGCAGCAGCAGCAGGAGCAGCAGCAACAGGATGGGTGTGGCTTTGAGTGTATTCTGGTCTTGTGTTGCTGCTGCTCCGAGTGCTGCTGATTGATGAAATGCCCTTATAATTATCTTCTTTATAAATCCTTTCCTCCCTCATTAAACTGTAGGAACGCTCATGCTGCTGCTGCTGCTGCTGTTGCTGTTGCTGCTGCTGCTGCTGCTGCTGGCGATGCTGGCGGTAGTGGTAGTGTGGGCGGCGGTGATTGTGCTGCTGCTGCTGCTGCTGCTGCTGCTGCAGTGTGTATTGTGTGCGGTTGTAACCTTCGTAGGCGCAGCTGAATCTGCTGCTGCTGTTGCTGCTGCTGCTGCTGCTGCTGCTGCTGCTGCTGCTGTATCTGTGTTCTTTTGAGTGTCTCCATCCTTCTCTCTCCGCCGGCCTTTTCATCCTTTAAAAAATTATTGAAATAAAACAAATGAAATAAATTAATAAAATAAAATAAATAAATAAATAAAATAAAATAATTAAAATAAAATATGCAGCATCAAAATAAACAAACGGAAAAAATCGATTGGCCTTGCGCTCGCAGCAGCAGCAGCAGCAACAGCAGCAGCAGCAGCAAATGGTTGTACCTTTTGCTGCTGCTGCTGCTGC